TTCCTGCCATTAATTTTGGAGTATCATCTTCTGAACCCTAGCACATCGATTGCTCAAGGGCGGCGGTTCATGAGGGGGCAGACCGTCAATCTGTCTTCTCCCTTACTCAGGACACGATCCAAAAATTACCTCACTCGATCACCCTCCAATTGCCTCCACCCTGAGGTGAAATACATCCCAACAGGACCATATCCAGTCGCCCCATCCATTTATCTCCTGTGCCAAATATAGTCCCAATCCCCCCCCCAACGTCAAGCCAAGCGAAACTGACCAAACGATTTTTCAAGATGATTTAGACAATAATCGAAGTATTCTTGAAGTGGTTGAGGACTGCTAGTGTGAAACATCATGCTGCTGGAGGACTGTTAGTGTGAAACATCATGCTGCTGGTAACCTTGTATGGAAGTAGGCTACTAAAGAGTAGGCTAATCAGCAAACTGCTGGTGACTTATTAGCAGAATATTGTTAGCTAGCTCTACAGCAGGGTGCTGTAGCAATCTGAACAACAAGCTAGCTAACTTAGATGTTGCTATATCAAGGTAAGGAGGAACAAAGGTATATTGTTCATAGTGAACTGGGTATATAGAATGACTCTATATTAATGCAGTCCACTGATCAAAGTAAAAGTTGTTTAGGAAGGTGTGTTTGGATAGGTTTTTAGGATGAGTGTGGTTTGTGATGGTGTGGGTATTCAAAGTAAAGGTGAAATCCTCCTACATCCAGTCTCACCATCAAACTGATGGATTTCCACTAGGTAAATATATCCAATACACTTGGTATCCAATCTAACCTTGATCATAGGCATAGATTGTAAGGGTTTTCACAAGGAGTTTGAACACCACTCCAAGCCACTCAGTCCTATAGGTGTTTCACTAATAGCATTGACTTGCTAAAAGCTACTCAGACCTATCATCCACCAAGTTTTTCACTAATAAAATTGACTTGCTAAGAGTTACTCATGTCTTCGCTCTTCATCTTCTTCACTCTGGATTTTATCACGAAGCCCTCGAGATGATTTACAACCTGCTTAGTTTTACAAAGAAAATCTAAACATCCAACTAATCTAAGCTCTAAAAATATAACTGTGAATGATGGAACTAGTCTAAGAGTATAGTGAAGTGGGGTGAGCTAAGAGGACGAGTGACAGGTTAGCACTTGATCCTTTGCTAGATGATTCATATAAGCCCGTATGGTTCCTCTTAACTACACACTCTTAACTCACCACACTTCCTATGTGTTTATGGACTCGAGTTGTTGAATATCTAATGTTGGCCAAAGAGATTCAATCTGTTGCGTTGAACGATCCACTTGGTGAGTGTGAGGCAACATGGTTGTTTTTGTCTTCTTGTGTCACGGGTTGTGATTTTCTTGTTTTCACTTGCTGTCTCAATTATTATCCCAATCAAAGAGATAATGTTTGAGATAATCAAACATTTTTATGCCGTCTACATGGTATCTCAAAAATATCTTGGGAAATAATTAGAGACAAAGTCTTCAACCGCTCATTAATGTTTCCTTCGTACATGGGTCCCTTTGTCTTTTCTTCACAATAATGCTAGTACTATCTTCGTACTACACTCTTATATTATTATTATTACAGTCTGGGAGAATGGTAAAGGTAGTTTACAAGCTTCAGAATGCAAGTGAATATTTACTTCTACATTTTTACAGTCTTACTATTTACCAGGCTGTTGATGGGTCCCATGGTCACACGTTGCATATTTAGGCTTGAATGCAAAAATAAAGTTGTAGAGAAAATTGGGACGATCAACTTTGCCTCTTACAACAATCTCAAGTTTGTTTTCCTTAGAGAGCTATAGTTGACAGCAGACTTAAGAGTTATCAGCTGTTCACTGGGCAAGCAAGGAAGCTATTAGCAGCATGTGAACGGGTTTTGTCTTTTCTTTTATCATTTTAGTACTCTTACCGTTCATCTTTTCATTCTTTTGAGTACTTTTTCTTTTGAAAATTAAATGCAGCAAGAATTACAAAATGATACAATCCAAGTTCTCTAAGTCAATACATATGCATCATCAAAATCTATTCTAGAGGGACCTAACTCTTATTGTATTTTTCTTTTACTAATTAGTATTAATATATTATATTACTATATAATACTAATAAGTTTTTCTAAAATTGGGGCCCCATAAGTTGGGAGGCCTATTTTGTTGAACCTATTGAACCTTCTAAAAACCGGCTATGTTGAGAAGTGATCTGATCTAATCTGATACTCCGTATTAACTAGCTCGTACTTTATATACTGCTTCTGTTCTTTTTTAATTGCAACAATGCAACTTTCACGTTTACTTGCACACAATTTTGACTGTAATTATATTTAAATATGTATTCATAAATATTATAAAAAGTTAATATTTTGGGAATTGACTTTAATAGAAATTTAGTAATGTTGTATACATATAATAATTTGATTATACTACCTCCATCCCAAATTATTTTGCAAAGTCAACAATTTTTGGTCAATCAATGTTAAAGTTAAATAATCCCCATTGATAATTAATTCAATTTTAATAATTAAAATTTACATATCTAAAAATTACATTAAAATCTCTATAAAGTTGCAAAACCCAAATTAAAATTTAATTAAGAAATGATATCTTTTTTTAACCAGGTAGGCAAACCACCTAAGTCGGTGGAGTAAATGTTATGGAACACTTACCATGTTTTATTAAAAAAGAGAGAAGTACAAAAGGAAAGAGGAACTATGCCAAAACCTCTCCGGTGAAAGCATACCTTCTCTAAATACAATGAAATGAAAAATTCAGAATAAAAACATACGTGAATTAAGAAATCTAAAAGACGGAAGTCCAAAAAGGTCCGTGAAATAAGCCTTTTTAGCAGCAGAAGGAGGCTTGGTCGGGCTATTAAATTGTTGAAAATGGGCCGCATAAGAGCTGGCTAAGTGATGAGCTACCCAATTTCATTCCCTCATGGAATGCCCAAATTGTAATATCTTTCATATTCGCTAAGACGCTAACAGTAGGGTTTCCTTAATTGAAACCCTCCATCTTCTCTCCTCATCCATCAAATACGCTAAGGCCAACGAGGAATCAGTTTCCACCTCAAAGGATTGATACCCAGCATCAATCGCCCATTTCATTGTGGTCATAAGAGATTTCACTTCACTTCCAGCGGGGAAGAAGCTTCAACAGAGTAAAAGATAGCAAAAATCAATCTTCCAAACTGGTCACGCATAATCGCCCCTCCTGCGGCTTTCTCAGATAAGAAACTTGTATCTTGTAATTTTTCGGAATAAAGTGTTCTTAAAAGAGTATATCTCCTATAATTCGACACCTTAGATTCGAGAATCCAGAGACCCAAAGTTGAATATAGAGTTTAATCTGGAAAATAATTAAGATGATCAATAGAAATAATTGAATTGTCTGACCCCCCCATATCTGATTATGATAAGCTTTTCAAATATGTCAACAAATTATGCCCGACATGTTAAGTTGTGTTTGAACATATCTTTCAGTGTCTTGCTACCTGCCTTTAACCACAATGCTCTAAAAACTTGTAACAATGATATATTAGAATTGGGATGAAATACCAAATAGCCTCGTAAAATAAGACCAAATAGGCTTCACATATCTGCAATTATAAAATACATGTTCCATAGAATCAACATGATATCCTAATTAAGTGAATAAAATAAGTTTGTTTGATAAAAAAGTCAAATTTGCAATTCAATTTGAGACGGATGGAGCATATATATATATATATATATATATATATTAATTAGTAGAAAATTGTGGTCATAGTAAGATGTGTGAATAATGTAAAAATTACAATGTTGCAACTATTAAAGAACAACGAAAGTATATAGCTGATCGAAAACATCAATTAGGTTTCAGGAGTATTATTGGTTATACGCTCTATTCTAGCGGATCGAAAACCTCGATTTTTTGTTACAATTTTGGAATTTCACGACGACTAACCCCACATAAGCTCTTTGGTTTATACATTATTGTGTAAATAAAATGAATAAAAATATGGAAATAGATGAATGGGGTAAGGAAGCGTTTAATGAAGAACTTTAGAAATGCTAGCCTATACTCCACCTGTCCTATAAAACTTGACAAAAATTGACTTATACTAAATCAATAAAGTAAAAATAGTGTGATTGATATTTGTGCAGAGGAGAGAAAGATAATTTTAATGACATTATTTATTACTTTAAATGGAAAGGGACAAATACAGGGGCACAAGGGGCCCTCTCAATGATTTGGGAAATCGAGAGGTCAACTTATCGCCTCGTAGTTGTATTATAATGAATGATATAATGTTAGTTACAATAATCCGATTCACATACTCTATTTTGAATTCATATTATTATTAATATAGCAATAATTTTTTATGAAAAATATTTTTAGGTTTGTCTCAATGTAGATTTTTAAAATGTATTTTTTATAAGTTTTAGTAATAGTAAATTAAACATAATAATTTTAATTTTTTTTAAATCTCGACATTTAAAAAAAAATCCCGACATTTTAGAGCATGTTTGGTGACTCTTTTTTTTGACTTATCAACCTTATTAGCCATGTTCTCCAAACATGTAAATTTTGATTTCGTGCATTGAGTTTTGTAATAATCAAAATAAGAAATGTTGCACTTACTTTTCTACCTGAAGTTACTGAAGAGAACCATTTTAGCAATTCTCATATAAATTTTTCTTTATTTTATTAATAAAATATATTTTAAATATAATTTTTTCATGATTCAACGAAATCAGCAAATCCAGTCATTTCAGTCAGAGTTTCATAAATTTCAGTAGAATCAACCAATTCAACCATTTCAGTGTTATCAAACGGGCTCTTAGTCGGATAAGAAATACCAAAATCGGAGTGCCTAGTTAAAATTTTCACCTATAAATCGTTGATTGTAATGGTAGAGCATTAGTGATAGAAAAGGCAGAAATGGAGCAAAAACACAAAATTTGGGTTGACTGAGCACATGACTTGCATGTCTTATACTTTCACTCATTCCATTACATTGCTTCACCTAATCCAAAGCTCCTCTTAACATCACTTGCTTGCGCATTTCTCCTTTTCTAATATTTGTCACGATTAACTTAACACGGTAACACCACTTTTTACGTTTAAAATTATGACACTTTGACCCTAAAAATATAATAGATTAACAAACTTGAACAATAAACAGGTAAGAACACAAATAAATACTTAAATACAACAAATATTATGAACAAACACTACACAATTGATTCAAAATTGTAGATCCGACCCAAATACATCCCCGCAGCCTTGAAAGTACTCGTCCATTAAGCTTGTGGATAGTCCAAACCCGATATCATGACTTGACCCAATAAACATGTCTGGACATTCTTCCTTGAAGATCTTGTCTGACCAACCCGTCACATCAAACAGGTCGGGTATGGGTTTCGGGTTCTCCAACTGCAACAATTCGCTCGCCGAAACAGTTTCAAATAGAGGAGATTCCGGCGAAATCTCAGGTACGGCAGTTCTGCCGGTCAAGGCTCGGCTCATTTTGACGGCGTCGATTTCTCGGAGCAGGACCGGCTCAGCAGCTTCGGTTTCTTCGCTGAAGAAAAAGACGGATTTGGGAGAGGATAGGCGGTTGTTATTGGACTCTTCCCCGTACTCCGCCGTCACATTCGCACAATTCTCGTCTGAAGCTGCCGCCGGGGAGAAAAAATTGGTCAACGCATTCGGTCCGCGCAGCTGAATGGCCGCATTGTCGTAAACCGCGGCGGCTTCTTCGGCGGTATTGAACGTCCCTAACCATAATCTCCGACGGCTTACTGGATCTCTGATTTCCGCAGCCCATTTCCCCCACGGCCTCCGCCGCACTCCTCTGTATTTCCTCACATCAGAACCCTGCTTCTCCGGCGGCGGCTTCACCGCGCCGTTCTTCCGCCTCCGCCGCATCGCAGCTTTCCTCAGAGCGCCTTTAGTGATTCCGTTACCGTAATCTCGTCCCCACGCCGCAAACGTGACCTCCGTGACGTACTTCTTGATTCTCCGACGCGTAGAGAAGGCTTCTTCATTCTCGTCACCGGAGGAATCGGTAGCGTCCACGTCAGTCACAGATATCCGCAAAACTCTGGGCAGCCCGGCATTCGCCTCCGGCGAGCTCCGACCAGAAAACCTTCTGCCCGGAAATGCCCGGCACATTTTAGTTTGCCGTTTGTGTTCACTGAACTTGACTGGAGTGGACATGTACATGGCAGCTCTGTTTTCCATGCTTTCTACTCAGATTCGCATGAAGATCAGACCATTGTATTTAAAAGCCAAAAGGGCAAAAGAGAAAACTAAAGAGAGAAAAGAGTGAAGATCAGATATGTTTTGAAGAATCCAATTTATCAACAAGAAAGTTTGAGAGAAAAAAGGCAAAAAAGAGGAACCAATACAAAGAATAGCTCTGTTCAGGACTGTTAAATTAAAAGGGAAGGAAAGAAAATTATACGGAGTAATATCAATATATCACTGAATGGTGAAGAAGAAATAGGATCTGTTAAACTAAATACTTGTACTACGGGTATGTATGTAACTACTCCGTATGTATGTGATGGGTTTTAATTTGTTTCAAATTGACAAAAGAAAAAAAAAATGTGTTCTAATATCTAAATAGAAAATAGGTTTCGATTTCAGACCCATAAGACTATTTTATCAATTTATGAGCCCGTTTGGTCACACTCAAATCGGCTGATTCTGTTGAAATTTATGAAGTGGTTGAAGTGGTTGTATTGACTGATTCTGCAGATTTATGAAAAATTTATATCTAAAATATATTTTATGAATAAAATAAAGAAAACATTATATGAAAATAGCTAAAATGAACATCTACAATAACTTCAGTCAATATAGCCAGAAAAGTAACTTCAACCTTACTTTTTTATTATTATTACACAATTAAGCGAGCGAAATAAAAAATTACATGTTTGGTTAAAAAGATGGCTGATAAGCCTGATAAGCCGAAACATAGAATCATCAAATAGGCTCAAAATGAAAACAGTTTAACAATGGTTTACCTTTAAGATTTTCTCCAAAGATATTAATGAATAAAACTTATTTACAAAAATATAACTAATAGTTACTGCACTATAGTCTCATAGTCACTTAAGTGTAAAAATAGAACATAAGTTAGTGCATGTTTGGCAGACATAAGTCTCTGTCTTCTAGTTTTTGTACTATTTAAAAAGTTTATAAAAGCTTCTAGTTGTATGTTTGGCATGACAATTTTTAAGAGTTTTTTGAAAATTAAAAGATCTTTTTTGAGATGCTACAGGGAGTAGCATATGAGAAAAGTCCATGACTTTTAGTACAAATTAAGCCTAACAGCTTGTATACCAAATAGAACTAATCAAAGAGTCAACTTTTCACCAAACAGCCACCACCTTTTATTCTTAAGATCTTTTCAGTCACTAAAAGCTAACACTTAATAAAAAGCTCATAAAAGTATCTTTTCAGCTAGTTGTGCCAAACATACCCTTACTATAACTAAGTTACTACTATCATCACTACACGTAGTAGATAACATTTTTATAAACAACATTTATTTTAGTCATATATATATATATATATATAATTACTACGTATTTCTTATTCTTAACCTTGTCCATTTTAGCTTACTGAAATTAACTTTAAGCAATTAGTGATCTAGTATAAACAACCAGAATTTGTTTTAAAAAGAAATAAGTCAGAGATAAAGTGTATAAATAGGATTGTTATTATTTTGTACTAAAATATGACGTATTTGCTCCTAATTGGGGATTTATGCTTTTAATAGAACAATATAAGTTCTATTTTGAGAATAGAACATATTTACTCATATTTATACACTTTGTTTATGATTTACTCCTACTTAGAAAAATTTGTTTTATATACAATTGTACTTCAATAATCTTTTCCACCATTGGTATGTTATTCAATGATTTGATTATTATTCTACCCTTATTATAATTAAAACCTAATTAATTCTTTTTTCCCTCCACACATCATCAGCTCCACCTCTTTTCGTCTCTCTTTTTTCCATCTACACTTCTCTCCCTATTTGATGATATAAAAAAAACTTTTCATCTTTTCCCCATCTCTTGAACTCTACTTAGCTATAGCCTTAAGTCCTTAACCATATGTATTAAACTCAATGACTAGTTATAAGTTTGTTAAGAGTTCATCTTATGAATGCTGTAATAATAATTAATGAGTGCAAGGACGGGTAATATATAATATATAACAATAAAGTTTAATCAAGTTTCTTCTAATATTTTCACTAAAAGTTACAGAGTATATGGTATCAAAGCACAAACATAAATTTTCAATTCCACATTGTTCTCTGTTTCAATGAGTCCTTCATGTGGATGGGATATGCATCAAAAGTCTGGTATATATATGATCTATGTGATCAATTTTGTCATGGAGATAAATTCTGTAATGCTGATTATCTTTTTCGCATATTTCATACCTTACCGGTTCAATACCCATTGTAGAACTCCATCTTTCTTAATAAACATACAACTTAAATTAATTATTCATTTTCTAATCTTAATGAAACAGAATTAGTACACTATATAGTATATCACTATATTTCTATGGCGAAATTCCCACCAATGATACATACTTTTACACATTTTACAAAAATAATCTCTACTGGAATAGTTCACAACAATAATATCAACTAATTAACTATTTCGATCACAAAAATAAACCAAGTGCTAATGGTGTTAACTTTTTCATTATTTTATTTAAACTTTAAACATATCTAAGCAGAAATATATATCAGCATTAACAATACTATATAGAATTAATTCCACTTTTGGTCCTTCGAGTTTTGTACCAATTCCACATTTAGTCCACTTCTTTCACTTTGTCCACTTTTGGTACTTGACTAATGTTTTTTAACCGTTTGTGGTCCTTTTCCGGTGATTTTAACCATCGGAAACAATCCCGGAAGGATCATATATGGGCAAAAACACAATAGTCATGTATCAAAAGTGGACAAAGTGAAAGATGTGGACTAAATGTGGAATTGACACAAAACTCGTAGGATCAAAAGTGGAATTTATTCATACTATATATATATATTTGAGTTTGATGTTATTTCTACCATTAACTTATTTAATATTCAATATTTTTCATAAAATATAATGAAAACATTTGAACACTACATATAAATTTGATGCTATTTCTACCACAATATTCTATATTATCTTTTATTCCTTATCAATATTTATTAATCATCGTTTTTGTTAATCATTAAAATAGATACGTAGTATTTTAAAATAGTTTTAGTAATAATATATATTAATAGAAATTACTTTTAGCTTATTCAGATTTAATTAAATGATATCTCCTATAATTTAAATGGATGGTATACTGAATTATCATATACTATGTAAAAATTATGTTTATATTCATATATATCTTTATTTAAACATACAAGGTTTCATAAATTTGAATATACAAATTTTCTTCTATAATGATTTATTATCTCACCGGTTCAAATTATAAGAGATATCTATTTATCAAATTGACCAAATTAAAAATATTATCATATACTTTATATTAATATATAATGGAGTTTCACTACAACCCTTTCAAATCTCAATTATAATGGATAAAAAATGAATATAAATAAAATATTGACAAAGAGTAAATTATATAATAGTGAATTTGACGAGGATTATGTAGTGTTCACATATTTCTATTCTATTATGTTTTATGAAAAATTATTGAATTAAATTAAATTTATAGTAGAAATAGATTAAAATCAAATATAATATTGTTAATGTTATATAAATATTTGCTTTGATATATTTAAAATTAAAAAAAATTGAAAGTTAACACCATTAGCACTTGGTTTATGTTTGTGAAACAGTTAACTAGTTAGGATAATTGCTGAGAACTTTATTTCCAGCAGTAAAAATTATTTTTTATAAAATGTGTAAAAGTATATATTATTAATATCGATTTTATTGGTATCAATTTTGCCTATTTGAGGGTTCAAAATGCTGTTTTTTCTGTTAAAAAGTATGTATGACATGCATGTTGTGTTGTATCACTTGTATGATGGTTGATTTAAAAGAGACATGCATGCTAGCTGTTCTGGGGAGGGAGAAATACAACAGCCAACTTTCTGTTATTAATTACTAATTAATTAATTAGTCTTTTTACGTAATCAAACGTTACTTACTTAATTTAGATTACGGTCGCAGGGCCCACCTCTTTGGACTATCTATCAGTCACGTTTTCCGGGTTAGCATTACTTCTGCTTTCCTTAAAAAAGTCTAGTTGGTTAATAATTTAATCTTCTAGAATAGGGATCAAAACCATTTTCCGTACGTTATTTGAGAATATGATTTAATTAATTACTATTTAGAATATTATATACTCTGCATGTTTTATTGAATAATAATTAATATAGACTCCTTACATCCATTATTATTCACACGCAATATTCAAAATTTTTGGTGATGAAATTTCTACCAATTTTGCTTTGTGTTCTTGGTGGTTCATTTAATTTAACACTCATCGAGTTAATCTGCCAAATCTATTTTCATTTAAAGCTATGGGCTTCTCATGGATGGATGAAAAAAATCGAACTCGTGTGATGCTTTCTTCATGAGGCTAGTAATTAAAACTTTTGAGGTTTAATCCCGCGGATCCGAAAGCCCAACACACGCTTTGGTTATTAAGGATGTATACAATATAAAAAGTGAATAATTGTCTGAACTCAGAAACTAATCTTGCATTCACATAATTCTTAAATTACACCTGAACTACCCGAACGGCACGTCGGAGTAATGCTCAATACAAGAAATAAAGAGATAATTCTGTCTAAACTCTGAGTCTAAAAATGTTAACCCTTTACAATGTATTCAATTCAAGTATTTGTACTAAAGAGGGAGTAGGTGAGATGATGATGTGGCCGAACCCAGTTGGCTGCTGCCTTTGCCACTTGTGCACCCATGCCTCCACTAGCTACCGCCATACCCTAGCATGCATTTAATGCAGTGCCGCTTGTGTGCTTCCCGGTCGGGTACCCCGTTCGGGGTTCAGGCTTCATAAGCCGGTGATTAACGCCGGTACTCCGCTAATTATCTCAAGTTGGATAACTAACCCGTCCGGGATAACCCGCATGATGTCCAGGGGTACTATCTCGAACGGGATGATGAATTCCTTTGACTGCTTCTGGGTTCGCCCGTCCCCTTGGGCCTTTCTCTGTTGTGGGCCGGATATATTGGGCTGTGGCCCAATATCCCAACAAAAACCAAGGATGATCATAAATGCATAATTGAGTTGTTTGGGTAGATCATAATAAATTAAGCTAGCTTGTTAGTTTCAATATAGTTTAAAGCTAGCTAGTTTAAAGTAAGGGTGATTGATGGATAGTCTACCCGGGGGGTATCTTATCCGAGGGTTATTACGGGAATAACTTAGAGAGAAGTCAGAGATAATAGGAGGAGAGAGAGTCGATTTTAT